ATCTTTATTAGTTTCGACATGAAGGTTGTACTGAAACTAAATCTTGAACTTTACCTTCAGGTAACAATAACATATTTTGAAGAGTCACGTGATCTGGACTCACCTGAGCTCATCGAACAGGTCTTCGTCCATGTCCGTCTTTTCCACCATGTTTTCTGCACAGCTTCGGACACCTGAGGAGGAAGTGGAGGAAGAGGAGGACATAAAAACAAATGTCATAAATAAGACGATTAGCGACTGAAGAAACACGCGACTTTGAGGGTAAAAATATGCTTTTAAAACTTAAAATTTGAATTTGCGTAATTTTATTTATAAGTTAATAACACTAAACGATGTTTAATTGACTTACTTTGCTCTTGAATCTCCAATTTGTTAATAGATGATACATTAGTAGCCATGACTTTTACGTCCGTACGTAACGTTGTTTCCAAGGAAACAGAAACTGAGCGTCCGTCCTTATAAAGCTTCCGGTAAGAAAATGAAACCGTCAGATAATGGTTCTTACATCATGGTTCCACCATGTTGACCCTCCATACATCAGACATTTTGCTAAACAGGGAGAGTTTTTAAAACGTGTTTGTAATGTACTTGTTTTAGAATCCGTTGTAAATATAGCTGGTTTTAATTTACTGTTTTTAAAATGTATTTATGTCTTATTTAACGWGCAGAAGCCTTTTGTTTTGTTATCTTTAAATGTATTTACTGAGAGGCTACAGGGGCATCGTTCATAATAGYAACAAACATTATTTGAAAGCAGGAAATATATGGCTCGCTGCTGTAGACTGTTTCCAAAACTATTTTTCAACTATTTCATGTGCTGAAAATATGTGAATTATTAAAAACATTCTGGTCATGGGGACAATTTATGCTTAATATTAGAATCATTCTCCTATATAGTAATGAGGTTTAACTAAAAATCTCTTCAAAATCCAACTTCATGCTTTAAACTAGTGTATTTTGATATGTTTATGTCATTAGCTTTTTTATTTGCAATTGTAGTGAAGGACAATGTTGGCAAAAAAAGTCCTCATTTGAGGACATTGGGACCATATTTTGCTATCGATTGTGCCATGCGGTTGGATGAACCTGGGAATATTTAGAATAATTCATAAATGTAAAGGGGTTTGGTCACAAATTTTAGTAGACCGTGTGACTTTTTAGAAAAGATCCCAGAATTCTGACGTTTTTCCCTCAGAATTAAAGTTAGAATAAAAGCAGAATTCTGACTTTTTTATCACCTTTTATGCTATAAGAAACTAGTTTATGTTGCAATGTGAAATTCTGTTTGTATAGAATCACAGAAATAKTTTGAATATCTAATTGGAAAGAGCAGAAAAAAGCAGCCCAATTAAAGACAAATAGACATGAAGTTGGAGCCTAATGTTGAAGYAAACACACAAAAAAATCATTTATTTCTAACCTAAATTTCCTTAAAGATATTACTTAATGCCAGTCTTTTACTGAAGGCAGGTAGTTTAATTTATTGTTTCACCTGAATAATTTAGCTGTTCTCAAACATTTGTCACTCCTTTAACAGTTAAATATCAGTTAATGTTGAGAAATTTAAAATCTATACTTCAGATAATTTTAGGGAAAAAACATTACAAACATTAAAATAACATTGACATACATTTATTACAAATATCACAAACCGAGAAACAATTCTTTTTATAAATCACATCTTTGGGAACTCCAGGGCATAATTCCTCTATAAACGTTTTAAATACAGCTCACAACTTTAATCTTTACAGTCCTGATTTTCACGTCCAACCACAGACAGCTTCTCTCTCACCTCCATCAGTAAGGTGCTCCAGGAACAAGACAAAAAGCCGACCGAACTCGACACACGCCACATTCCAGAAATCATACCAGCACAAAATGATTCTACAGATTCAGTTTACGCCTTTTGGACTACACAGGATCTCGTTCATAAATAATAATTTATAACTATTCAGTGTTATAATTTAAAAAGTCATTCAGTTTGTTGTTTTTTTTTTATGCTGTACAAACATAACTTCTCCTGAATCACATTCTCTCGTACATTAATTTCGTCACCCGTTTCTGAAAGACGACTTCGTGCCCAGAGACGCTTCAAGTAAAAGGAAAATAAACAAAGAACAGAAAACACAAACACATCAGAAGGTGAAGAACAAGTCAGGGTCAGAGCAGACAGGGAAACATTTTACTCAGTATGGCTTGGCAAACTGAAAAATAAATAAAACACGAGTTTTTGTAAACAAAAGCCTAAGAGTGATGTTTGTAACTTGATTTTTCTGATAATTTCACAATTTGACAATAGCTCCAACATTTTACCTTTGCTTCAAGCAACTTAATGTAAAATCATAAATATATTAATTCACCGTCAGTCAACATCTTTGTTCATAGTAAAAATAATTAATATCCCATCTTAATCACCAGACACTAAAATTAATCCAGATTTATTTGGTCTTTGTTGTGAAATTTACTGAATGTGAAGCTAAATCAGAGGCCAAAAAACAACAAATAAAGCTCTGAACTCTTTACTTGGCATTAAATATCTTGATTTTTTTATTCCTCTTTGCTACTGGAGGAAAAAGACAAACATCAACTCACTTTTCTTTTTCTGCTTGAAGCACGAGAATGAGCGATTTTAAACTATTCTGTAAATTTTGAAAACTTCTGGTTCTTGAATTTCTAATAAAAAACCTGCAGGTGGAACATAAACAAAAATAAAACAAGCAAAAGTGCCCAATTATCGGTGCCAGAAAATGAAAATGCTACCTTGAGTACAGTAATTCACATAAACATAGTAAAAAAAAAGAAAAAAAGTGAAGTTTAAATTTACCAGTACCATAATATTGTAGTAGAAGCTGTGTTCTTTTCTGCTCCTTTTAACTGCAGAATCATGCAAGATGCTGATGGGATTAAATAGTAGTAGCCTCTGGTCTGAAAGCGCCATTGAATAAGATCTGCAGATCTGAAAGAACGTTTCCACAGTTACGTTTTTTTTCTTTGCCTGACTGARATGTTCTTATTCTCTTTATATAGAAAAACAAAAAAAAGCACTGTTAGTAGAAAGTTTCTCGGTGCAGCTTCTACAACGACTTGTCAGAAGGACACAAAAGAGGATTCATCTCCCGTCTTTCTCTTCTCCAGTCCTCCGACTAAAACTTGCCGTCCTGCCATCATGAAAACCAGCGCGACACGTTTCTCACAGTCCTGCTTGAGAGGGAGTTACAGGAGGAAACTGTAGGCCTTGTGCGTCTCTCCTTAYGGAAGGAAGGGCAGGAAATATGTCAGGAGACGTGAGCGATGAGTCTGACGCGCGTCTGGATGTCTTGGCGGCACAGCGGGCACGTCTCTAACTGTAAGGCACACTCCATACACATACCGCTGAGAGAAAAACAAACAAAACAATTTAAAATTAAATCTGAGATTATCTGCACCGTGTTTATCATCATCAGTTTGGATTATTCGACACGTACCCGTGTCCGCAAGGCCGCAGCTCCGTATCCGCCATGACGTCACAACACAGCGTGCAGCAGTTGTCCCGGATGCTGACCTGCTTCAGTAAGGCCAGACGCCGGTGTCTGGAAATAAAAAAAAATAAAAAAGATTTATATTGACAATAAAAGCATAAAACGTTCAATCAAAATATAAATCACATCAGTAAGATAAATATTAATAGGAAAAGGTGTAATATTTKACTTTTCATTGATCAAAGCAGGAAAAAAAATGTTGAGAAATCCCGATCGATGAGTCATGCTGATTTCCTGTCAGACCCAYGGAATGAGTCCAAACAAATGACTCACCAGTTTCAGAGCAGCTGGGCGACACACAAGGCTTCACGTCTCAGGTTTTATTCGACTCACCTGGGTAGAATGATCTTTTCGCTYGGCTGCAGCGAGGCAAAGTCGTTGAAGGTGCTGAACTTGACGGAAGGCGGGTGACGAAAAGACTTGGCCCCGAAGTTAAACTCACACTGCTGGTAGGACATGAAGCTGGCCGCCGCGAAAAATCCAGACCTGGAAGGAAAAAAAAGACAAGATTATTCTAAAGATGACATAATTAAAGCGGGCTTATTAAACCACAGATAAAGTAAGAGGAAACGCACGTGGCTGATGAGAATACTTGTTTCTCTGGTGGCAGCTGATGTCCRTTTAGATAAAAGATCATCTGCTTTTTGTTGAGGTCCAACAGGAAGCCAATAGCATCTCCTAAAATGCATCAAAATAAAACCACAGTTGGAATTTCTTAATAATCATTAATCAAACAGTTAATCAAACGGTTCTAACAGTAAATAAGCAGCGCACCCTCCTTCCAGCAGGGGTGAGAATGAGGTTTACTGCGAGCRTTGTACCAGATGAGCTGCCTGCAGCCATCGTACGCACATGAATATTCATCGTCTCCGATCCCATAACCCTCCTGAAAATGAGAACAAATCTTTTAGAAAAGCTCGTTTATCGACTGTAGAGAGAAGAGCTGGAAGAAAAGTAGAAAACCAGTGGGAAGTACATGGTTCAGAAACTTGCTGTCTTTGGTGGCCCATCCAATCTGCATCACCCCTGATGTGATCACCGTCACCTCGTAGTACCAAACGCCCGAATCCACACAGAACGTACAACGCACGCTCTCAAAGGAYGAGGCATCGCATCGAGCCTGCAGGAGAGTGAACGTTACAACCTGAACTCTTTCAATCAAAATGTTGCAGCTGATCGTGATATAAACTAACTTCCAGTCCGGTGGGGGAGATCTTGAGGTACTCGCTGACGTCGTTGCTGTTCAGCATGGCGTTKATGTTGGTGAGGTTAACTTTCTCGTAGGTGAACTGACGACCCTCCTTCAGGACTTCACAGAAGAAAAAAAAAAGTCAATGGTATATTTTTTATTTTCCCCCTCTCCAACTTCCACAGCAGCGCAGACTTACAAAGATCTACTCACACAGGTTGTCAAGGCTCCACTGGGAACAGAATCCGACCTGCCTCTTCAGGTAGTCCGGGTGGTCCGCCCACGACTCCAGAACCGAGAGCCGATTACTGATGGACGACTCTGACACGGTCAGTTTGTTCTCACCTGAAAGCAGAACCGTTCAAGTGAGAGCWGGAAACAAATAGAAACAGTTTATCTGCGTGTCGACATAAGAGGCTTGGCATTAGTGGCGCCTTAGTTTCAGAGCAGTTTGTTTCCACAGACTGATCTACAGATGGATTTAAGTAAAAAAATAAAAATAAAAAAAGACTAATAAATTAACAAACGTGCAAAGTTAGGACTTCAGTTTGATGAGATGATTGCAGTACAATAAAACATTAATTTTTTTGTTTGCCTTGTTCATCTTACAGCATATTTTATACTCAAACACAGAAACCAGGAAGTAGGGCTGCGCGGTATATGAGATAGAAACTATATGTAGTTGGCCTACGGTAGAAATTGACCCTCTACCGTCCTGTCATCAGTTATGTCATTGCACCTGTGTCAACAGAGCTGCGAGTGCAGAGACAACTGAGCAGGAGGAGTTTAAAATATTCTGGAAATAAATGAAGAAAAAGCATTTTAAAAACACGTATAGAGAGAATAAATCCTCAAAATTTGCCACTCCCACTGTAGAAAAGTTACGTCGTGTCTTGGGCTTATTTCCTCCCTCCCTTTCGCAGCACGTGGCACAGAGCGATGTTTTAATAATTGTAGTTTTTGAACACACAAGTTGTCGAAGAAAAAACTTGTTTTTTTATGTACAGTATTGTTACCCACAGAGATGATTAAAAAAAAAAGATGGGGATGTTAGTTCAGTCATAAATCCATCTTGCTAATGTAACAGTTCTACTCTGAGAGCAGCAGCTGATAAGTTCAACAGGCAGAAGCTCATGGTATGGCAGGCAGATATTACATWTATTTGGCTTCACCACACTTAHATTCCAGTTATCTGAAATTGTTTTATGACAGGACTATGTGCAGCTTTAAGCCCCTTCAGGCGCTGTCACACTATAACATTTTAGGCAACTTATGCCAACTTAGAATTATTTTTATGTCTAAATGACTCATTTTAATTCAAGTACTGGTTATAAAACATCCACTTTATTTTGATACTGTTGAAAATTTGAGAAGTGCTTTTGTTTATTGTTGAAATCGTTTTGCAATATACATAAAACATTCTTTTGTACTTCTGTTATGTTCATTTCTACTAAAGCAAAGATTTTCTAATAATTTTCTACCACAATATATACCATTCCCGTGAAGGGATTCAATTTATACTGTGACATGAATTTGAGGTCATACCGCCCAGCCCTACAAGGAAGTAGGAGAAAATGAAAGCAACACTCTGCAGATCTGTTGCCCTAAAAAAACCACCTCAGGTTCTTTTACCGCTGTCATTTTTAATTATTGTTTTATTGATATAACTGTTTAATCTGAAGAGCCTTTGAGTCTTTGGACCTACTGGTTTGGGAAAACTTCTCCAGGGCGATGAGAGCAAACAGCATGACAGTGGGGTGGGACTCGGCGCTCTAGAAGAATGACAAAACAAATAAATATTTTTAAAAATGTGTTTGAAAAAGACTAAAAAAATAAAAATCAGCAAGGCAATCTCCTTGTGTACATAAGCAAATGTTTTGAACATAATCTTGTTAGATTTCCCATCGGGACTGGACTCCCATTTAATTAGACACGATTCTCCACAGTGCATGCATTAAAAACAAAATAAAGCTTTAAAGCAGCACATATAATCTTCTTACCTAATAATTAAGTAYRCAGCTGGATGCATCACTTTAGCAATCAGTGACTCAGAAAAACACAATAAATCCCACAATTAAAAACGGAGTAACTGTATTTGCTTACCAGGCTCTCTAGGAGGTACTCAAGGGTTCCAGGGTTTAACAGTCCTATACTGGCCGGTCCTGTGACAAAAACAAGTGTTTCCAAAAATGCATTTGCAACAATAAAAACAAAAAAATACAAAGTGGATAGATGTGGACCGTACCGGCCAACTTCTCTGCGAGGCATCCCAGAACAGCTGTGGTGTTTCTGTGTTTAGCTGGGCTGAGGGCATCCTGTTGCGCAACAGCCGAACTCAGACTCAACATGTCGGAGAGTTTCTGGAGAGCATCCTGCAGAGAGACATCAACTTGAGCCAAATGTGCACCGAGCGGCTCGAGTCAATCCGAATGTTAACAAGCAGTCGAGTGAATCAAATGAATGTTTATTCGACTTGGAGGATCTTAAAGCTCCATCTGCTCTGGTTGCTTCAGTCAGAGATGCAAAGAGATTTTCTTATGACGAGGCACAAAAGCCAAGCGAAGGAAAGAAGGAGCTGTAATAAATAATTTAATAAAAAGACCCAAGAAGCCAAAGAACAGAGCAGAAGACCATACTAATAAGAGAAGTAATTTAAGGCGAAGATCGCTGCTTTGATTAACGCTGCCATTAAAACACAAATAACTTTTGAGATTACAGCCATAATTTCTGATCTGAGGGCCAGACCTTAGTAGGGAGAGGACACTCATCCAGTAACAGGGTGATGACTGCAGGGCCGAGCGGATCGTCCAATGGGATCACTCGTATCAGAGACTGGACCACTTCCAGCCAACCGTCATCTGATATAGAAAGAAAAAAATTATTCATCAAAAATCCCTTTAATGTAAAAATGTACATATGTTATATGGAACAGTGAATAAAACAACTTGACAGCATTTTAAAATTAAAAAAATGTTTCATACAGTTTCAGTTCACGAGTTCAGTTCAGTTTTCTACAGAAAACTGAACTGAACTCGTGACTCATTTATTATTTATAGTAGAGTAATTTCAGACGCAGTAAAAAGCACTAAAACAAGAATTTCCTCTTCAATGGGYGACTTGGTAATAAACCTTTTCCACCACTGCCCCCTCATGTGGTGGTCATGAATAATGTAACGTTGGAGCTTGTCAAACGTCCGGGCTGGTCTGCTCTCTCGCTGACTTGGCTACCTTCAAGGTTCAGTGTTTGCAAGTTAATACCTAACTTGGCTGCTGTYGAGCCACACGAGACTGTGCCCTATGAGCAAACACCATCTGTGCAAAAACAAGGACCAAACAGGAATTCAAAGGCTGCTGCTGCTGCTTACACAACCTGACATGCAGGGGCAGCATCAAGCACAACGATCTCAAGAAAACATCCCTCAATACGCCTAAAATTGATACTTGGTGTAAAGCTAAGATATTAAAATGTTTTATTTACTTGCTGCACAAATATGCAAACTTTCAAAAACAAGATTTAAAAGCTGTAAATTTGATTCCACATAACCCTAACCTAAGAAGAGTCATCATTAATATTAGCACAGCAGGAGGCGGGGTAAAAAAAGGCTCACACATCAGCAGATAAACTCTCATTTTAACCATGAATAAAGACAACAAGCTGCCTTCAGGTTGACTTTACAACAGTCTGCGTTAAAACCAAATGTAAAAGAAAAGCGGTTGAAAGCGTGACAGTCACGCATTGCGCTCGCTGACTCTATCAAACTAAGATCAGCGATTCTGAGAAATAACTTCCTCTGCAGTTTTTTTACAAAACAACTTTCTAAGTTCAGCCTGAAAGGAGGAAGGTTTGTTCGAATTCCTGGAACCAACAAACCTTTAATATTTTTATTTAAACAAAGCGGTCATTCAGCTTTGAGTTTCAATTTGAAACTTTAACCTTCAGAAACTAAACTTTTTCTTTTACCTGTTTCTGCCATTTCATGTAGCGTGATCATGGAGTACGGGGGTTCTTGGTCACTACAAGACAAAAGCAGAGATCGCACCATTGAAACTGAATTTAATCTTTACCACTTTAATATTTCACATTATTGTGCCTTTACTTATGCACATTATACATCAACTGCTGCGATGCCTCGCGGTTAAAGCTCTCGAAAAAATAAGCATTAATGACCTTGTGATTCCTGCAAAACCCTGTTATAATACAAACAACTGGGAAATAACGTGGTATGATTCAGCCCTTAATGTGTTACTGCATGTTCAGTGATGAATATGGATTGTGATTTTATCCTGTGCACGAGTTGAGGCATTTGCAAAGTTGACAGAATTGTGTTTAGTTTCTGTTGCTTCACAAAATTAAAAACTGCTGCCATAATTTTTTTTAAATAAAAAAGTTTTTACACAACTAAGTAAGACAGCAGCGACCTGATCATTCAAATAAGTCTATTCTTAAAAGAATGACATAAAATAAAAACTAACTACTGTTTWAAGACTAGAATTGTGTTAATAGACTTACTTGTCTACAAGCGTCCTGATGACAGCCAGTGTGTCCAGCACCAAGCTGTCCACGTTCTGCTTCTTCCGCCTGGGCTCATGGGGCCCTCTCCCCCGGCGCGGCGGCCTGACCGGGTCTCTCGGTCGACTGCTTCTAGGCTCTCCGCCATCGACGCCGACAACTGTACTGTGGTCAACCCTTCTAGCTTGTCCTCGGGTCGCTCTCGTCGACCCGTGGTGATGATCCTCCAAGTCGCTATCCTCACGACAAACRCAGCTGTTACCCATGGTTCCAGGGCCAGAGACCACACTGGCACGGGTCTCCCAGGATGGAGGAAGGGAGTTTAAGGAGGGGAAGAAGAGCAGAACCTGTGCAAGGCTCCTGCAGGCACAGAAAGTAATCCAGGCAGATACTATCATATCATTTGGAGAGCTTGGTTTTGGAGGATTCTGGTCCATGTGGGCTGGGTGGGGTCAGCGTAAATGATCATGCTGGTGCCGAGCTCAGATCCGTTTTTTGAGTAACAATATGTGGCAGGTTAAATGGACCGGTGAGAGTCATGTGACGCAATGAGAAAAAGCTCTGAACATCACAAGCAGCCCCGAGGTTTAGGTCAGGCTGTCACCCAGGGCTCCTGTAGCTGTGAAAACAAAAAACAGAAAATGTTAATCAGCTGTAAAATTWATTGCGCAACACCTGATCTTGTTCTGTGAGAAAAATTAAATAAGTAAAACTTGTTGAAATGACACACCCAGCGACAACAAATATAAAAAAAATGATAAGAACGATGCAACTTCTGCGTTGGTTGATTTATACATTTATAAAATCACAACATATGAAGCATCTAATTAACTTTTTCAACCCAAAATACCGCCAATAAAAACTGTGGTTACTCATCTTTATTGGATTTTTGATTTATTTCCTTGAAACTGTACAAGAAAATTATATTTCTGGTAAGTCTGAGTATTAATAAACCTAACCAGAGTTAATCACTGAGCAATATTGTATTACTATTATTAGTGATAAAACTGCATGTTGACAAACAAAGCTATACGGTTAGCTTAGCTAGCTAGCCCACAGCATTGTTACGTTCTCAGCTTTTTTTTATTACTAATTCTAACGAATTATCTGTACCGCCAATAGTGATTAAATTGTAAGAAAAGTGTATACTTACGGTACTTCCACTTGAATGACACCAGCATTAGTACGCTGTCACTTCCTACCTRAACACTTAGAAAACAGAGAGCTACGTTTCGTAGCGGCTAACTTGCTAGCCATTAGCAAAGACAACATAATGAGCAGAAACGAAGAAACACGGGCCGCTCAAAGACCGCTGAAGTACGTGGGTACATCTGAAATAACCCTCAACACACTGCAACGCGCCTGTGCTGAAATATAAAGCAACACATCCACGGTGAACACGTCGCACAGCTTTAGTGACGCTGCTTTGAACGGCTGAGCGGCTAGCTAAGTTCCTTAGCTTAGGCAGGCAGCTGAAGGCTGGTCATCATCATCATCATCATCATCATCATCATCATCATCATCATCATCATCATCATCATCAGCTGTGGGGGCTGAGGGATGAGAGAGCA